ACTTAAGATAAATAAGAGTATTTGAAATTGGAAAATCTGGGGTTTTTATTCAGTAGTTAAGTTTGAACTCTTTGCTCAATGACTTTTAATAAGTACAAAAAAATTCAGTTGATAACTAAGTCTTGCAAAGCTGTAGAAACAACTTAATTTCACTGTCAGCTGTATTAATGGGATGATGGTTTATCCCCTAGGAAGTGTTTCTCCATTATAAAACTGAGCAAGTAAAATAAGATTATATATTCAGTAAACTAGAAATGACAACAAAGAAAAAAACCTCCCATTACTTTAAATCAACTTACATAAGCCTACTTCCCTTCTATTGCCAAGATAAATTGTCTTACTTTGTTCTTTTTTTTTTTTTAAGGCAAAATCAAACATACTTGTCAAGATCCATCTGATCTGATCCAAAAAAGAAATTATCCTTTCTCCAATCTACCTCTATTGGCACATGTCTGTCTCCTCCACCCCATCTCAGAGATACTGTCCAGGGCTGCTAGATAGAGCCACATATGCTCACCCTTACCCTACTTCTGTCAAAATACCCAATGAGCAAAGTCAAACTTGGCTCATTCTACAAGGCATTTTTATTTTTAAAAACATTTAGAAAGGCTGTCTTTGGGTGTGTAATATTTTAGTCCAAAATATCAATCTTAGAGCAAATATGGAGGCAAAGACATTTTAAGATCTTATGAAATACAAGGGGGTTAGAAAAAATAATAATTTTATACATGAAAAAGCTCTCAGGCATGGAAGTCTCTCTTCATTTCTAAATTTCTTACTAGGAAGAAAGTGTTGCACTGAGAAATAGAGTTTAAAGGCAAGGAGAAATGCTTGTGTCCTGATATTTTTGAATCATTGAAAAGAAGAGAACCTGGGCTCTTCCCCTTTCTACAAACATAAAGCCTACCTTGTCATACAACCAAAGACCAACTGCAAATTCTCAAATCCAGGAGTTGTTTTCAGCTAATACTGAGACAATGGATTTCCCCTGGTGTTTCCTGGATTTTATGCAAAGCTACTGTAAGTGGATGAGATCCTGCTGTGTGTCACCTCTGGTACTGTACTGCTCTAGGCTTTGCTTTTCAACAGGTGCCATAAGAACTGTGGCACCAAGACACACTGACCCTCACCTTGCCTTTGTTTTCATCTACATTCCTCTGAAAACCACATTTATCCAAGTATTCATAAGCCTCTTCCATGGAAAAACTGCTGAGTGAAAACTCAATAGCAGAAAATATGTCATTGCTGTCCACAAGTAGGAGTAAATATGAGGTGACAGATTTAAGAATAAAAACCCAAAAACTGGAGTAGGTTCTTCATCCCAGACACAGCACATGCTTTGGACAAAGAATATGGGATCTTGGTTACCTATATTCTCATACTAACAAAAGGTAAAATGCTACTCTATTTTTCTTTTATACACTGTCAACATCTGCAGCATCAGTTTTGAGTCTTCTTTTATCATTCCCTTGTGTGCATAAATCCATTCTAGAATCTTACTCTCCCCAGTGGCAATCCTAAAACCAAGCTCCCCGTGGATGGTTGCCTGAAAGCCTGGCCCACATTCCAAGTGCTATTTTAATTATATGTCACGTTCCTAGATTCTTCTAAATATACTACTGTCATCTCAGAAAGTAATAAATCAAATTTTGAAGCCATACCAACTTTAAATTACTAATAATTTTTTTTCATTAGTGCTAATGTCTTCTACAATAGCTGTTTAAAATATACTGATTGATAGAAAGTTGTATCTGAGTGTCCTAAGAATGTGTAGCTGTGGAAGTGTACATGGAAGGTATGTCCAAGACAGCAGCACATCCCAGATAATTTACATTCTAAATTAATAGAAAGACATAAAAAATAAGACCTATGAGAACTCATTTTGTGCCTCTATTGTAACCAGTACAAACTTTTTAAATAAAAGATCCCAGCAGCTGAATGAAACAGTGCCTTATTTACACCTAGACTCTGCCTTTGCATAGCCCAAACCAGATTCAGATTGATTCTGCACTTCCAAAAATTAAACTTTCCTTCTAACGTGAAAAACATGCCTTCATTCTTCCCTTCTTTCTCCTCTATGAATATTTTTATATGACTAATTCACTAGGGACCTTTTCCCTGCTTTCTTTCAGAAATCTATACACAGTTGATAATTGCAAAATTTGTGGATGGAAGAACTACTGCTTGCCAAGACTGTTATCACAAAATGTCTTAATTAATTAATTATTAATTGTTTAAAAAGATAGTGCCTTGCAAATCCTGTGGCTATGGGCAATGAGCCTATGGGTAATGAGCACACTTTGTGTTCAAAGAGAAGAAATAGAATGCAGTGACAGACATAGATTTGATATTTATCATATTTTCATTGTCTTGATTTCACCATAAACGTAGTGAAATTTAGGTTTGCTCTGTGTTTTCCAAACTTGAAGGTGTCCTTAGAATGAGAATTATTTAATCCTGTTGTTGCCATCAATATTTTTAAGCTGTTCTATGAAGAGGCTGAAAGAGCCAGAAGATAAATGAAGAATAGCAATATGTTTCTGTGCCAAGGTTTTTAAGCCAACCTCATTCAGTGCCCAGTTTAGGGATTGTGCACTTCAGTGATTCCACAGCTGGGCAGCATCACTGTGATGATGGAAGCTGACCAGGCCAAACCTTTTCCCAAAGCTTCACTGAGGCCACAGTTGTGCAATTTGCAAATTAATGGAACCTGATTTCAGCCACATGATTTTTACAATCTTTGGCAACCAGATTTTAGAGCCTGGTATTAGTAATTAACTACAGAACAACTAATTAAGCCTTTAATCATCTCTTGAATAAGCTAAATGAACTGAGCTCCTGTGGTCTCAGTTCGTGGCACATTTGTTGATTCTTTGATGAGTCCTGTGACTCCTCTCTGAACCCATTGCAATTATCAATATCTGTACAACTAAAAAAACCAAACTTAAGGAAAAAGTTGAGAATCAGCTTACAAATAGGGTTCATTTTTTTTCCATGTTGACTCAAGAACCCTGTGTTTAACTATTCAGTGATCACACTTGTCTGTTTTCAACTGTGAGTTCTGGCTGTGGTTCTCCCTAGTAATTCAATAAAATAAAACATAACCTGGAAATGAACAGCAGGCTCTTCATAGAGAAACTGTATTCTGCAGACACTTGGTTGTAAACCTATCAATATCTACTGCTTGTACCCTCAGGTTAGGTTTAAATTAACTTGTTATCACCCCTCTGCATTACTGAACAGGACAACAAAAAATTTAAGGATATAGTTCTCTACTTGGTAAAAGAACGATTTCCAGACATTGACAGGCTCCAAACAAGATTATTATGTTCATGTGCAAGGAAAATGCCAGTAACAAACCAGATTTCTGCTGTTGGAATATATTTAAATGATTAAAAAATGCCTTTTTTTTTTCTGCAGCTGCATAAAGTGACAATTTTGGACGGTCTGAATTACACAAAGTAGAAACAGGAATCATCACAGAACTCCATCTTTCCCATAGCTACAGCAAATCCCTGTATGAGAGGCCAAGCCAAGATGTAGCCAGCCCTTTGGCCTTTAACTATAAGAAATCAGCATATAAAATGCATTCACTACATAGCATGAGCACATATCACACACCTGAAGGTTCTTTAGTTCTCCTGCTCTCACTGACTACTCAGGATGATTTCCTTCTCCAGAAAAGCACGGTTGCCTGACCTCTATATTCCTTCCTTTTCTTTTTCCTCCTAAGCAATTCTGGAATGAATTAATTTATAGACAGGCTTGATGAAATAACTATTAGCACTTGCACAAAAAAAAGTCATTTGGTATCTTTAAAAGCTTTAGGCATTTTCCAAGTCTTTTCAAAATATCCTGCATTAATCATTTCACAACCTTTCAAATAGACTCTAGGAAGATTTATTTTTCATCCCTGGTTTAAGACTATTGTAGGAGTTTTGGCTTCTCAGGATTCTCAAGTCAGAATCCTAACTTTGAAAAGAAGCTGCCATATCCACTGCTTCTCTTACCAGACCAACTTAGCTGAATTAATTTGCCTTATTACACAATATCCTTGCATGAATTACCACAATTGCTAGCCTGGAATGTATTAAGATTGCTAGCCTGGAATGTATTAAGACATTAAAAGACATTTAATGTCCTTTTAGATGTCTTTTAGTATAGTTAAAGCACAGAAGAGGAACCAGCCAAGGAGACAAGGCAGCTTTCTAGAGACCAATGACAAATGTACTGTAGATACTGTTAGGAAACTTTGGCACTTCCCTTCTAATTTTCTTCTTTTATTACTGGCTTGAAAAAAATAAATAGATAGGTGCTGCATAAACACTGCAAAAATACAAATTCCTGCTGTCTGATTAAAGGGAAGTGGCAAAAGGAAAATGAGTAAATGTACATCTGAGTTTAGTTTACATTCCAAATTTTTAGACCAAAGTCCATCACTTCTAACACCTAATGTTGCTGTTTGTACAATGTGCACTTACATCAAATAGGGGAATAGAAATTATTCCTTCTAAATACTATCTGAAAAATCAGAGCATAGTTTGTGTATAGAGCTAGAATAGCACACGTACTGCTAGAAATGTTCTCAGAAGTTTGAAAGCATGAATCTAATAAAGCATTTCCCTCCACCTATCCTAAATCTTTCAAAGACAATTCTAAATCTCAGCAAGGATAGAATTGAAATGGTGACAATGTAACCTCTGTTCAAATGATTTGAAGATTCTGGAAAATAATTCACTGGAATAAACATATTCTGCCATACTCTATGACAGAACTCATGCAAACCTCATATGCAAATCATTAACCTCATTAAACTGCCACAAAACAAAAGATATTACAGAACTGTTACACTTAAAAACATTTTTTCCCCAGAAAATTTCAGTATTATTGCCAACTGGAAAACACAGATAATACAGAGTTAAGCAACAGCTTCATTTTTAAGCAAGAGTGTGCTTTTGTTTGGCTAGTGGAATGATGAAATAAAGCAGCTTTTTTCTTACCCTTGTTGTACATGTTGGTGGGTACTTGGACATCACTCAGACTGATGTTCACAGGCAAGTTGTTGAAGTGGTCATTTGGCACCAGGATGAACTCCTTCCCCAGCTCCAGGTAATTCCCTTCTTCATCTCGTTCGTTTATGAGCACAGCGTTGAAGTATTCGTACTGCAACAGAAACCCACATTCCCTATTCAGAACACACATTCAGCATCAAAATGAGGTTTGAATGGTTTAGAACATCTATCAATTCACTGATTAACATCTCCTGCTAGAACAAGAAGTTTTTATCCTCTCTCAGGTTCCCTTTATACTCTTCATAGAGGTACATTTATCAAAACAGATTTATCAATACATCTCAAGAAAACCCCATATTGGTTCAGTTCTCTGGCTGCCCTGAAAATATTAAGGGCAGTCCAAGAAAAGATCTAATCATAAACAATATTTGTACTATTTTTAATACAAAGCTTTCTAAATTTAAATATTTTTCTGGATGATTACTTAATTATGAGTTCTGTTTAGCTTACTTGCACCAGATCAAGAACTGCTGTCAGTGCTGAACTTAGTCCCTGACAAATTAAAAGTGTTTTTACTTCTCAGGAGTATTAACTACAGCTGTAGATATGTACTCAATGTGTACTGACTGACATTTCCTAAAATTATTTGCTTTATACTGAATTTTAGGAATGCACATCATAGCTGGCCTTCTAAAATATGCATACTTTAATCTCTATATATAAGCTTAATAGTGACTTATTTTGAACAAGAAATAATTGTCTGCCTGTTAAAGATTCCTGAAGAGTATTTGGCCTATTTTGTACAGAACTATAACCAGACAAGCAAAAGCAATTTAGATAAAATTATTGATATCTTTATGACCTAGTTTAACCAGAAATTTTACTAAGCTTTGAAAGCAACAAACAGTACAGCCTATTTTTTAACCTCTTTAAATACATTAACCCTTGGCAACACTTTGTGATGTGCTTCCTAATTGGAGGAGGCCAAAGTTTAGTGTCTTTGAAGAATCACATTAATTTAAATATGAGTTCCTGCCCTAATATCCATTTGAGAATAAATGCATATAATATTTAAACATAAATCTATGTTTATTTGAGGATAAAGTATTCTGTACTATAATATGCAGTGATATACTGTTCTTCTTGAACTGAACTTAAGGTATGTGCCACGGAATAATTTCTACAGAAATTCACATATGGACTTGGTAATTTCAAGGATGTAAATTTTATTTGCCCATAACTTTTATAATACTTTCTAAATGGAAGGAAAAATGGAAAAATTTCAAATAAGAATGTCAGAATGTACTTGAAATACACTCTAAAGAATCATTATTTAATTTCATTCTGTGGATTTTTCCCTTTTCCAAAGAAGTTAATTACTAGGCAACCTCTTTCATCAAGTTCTGTAAGTGGGAAGGCTAGCCAAATACCAAAATCTGCTATATTAAAAAAAAAAAGGGAAAAAAGAAACCACTTATTTTACAATTAAGGATATTTAGGACTGATTTTTTCTTCAGTTGATTTAGTATTCATTGATTTATTGGTCTGACTCTGTATATTTCTCTGAGTCTGTATTTGCTCTTCTCAATTCTACCAGTGTATACACAAATATGATTTATGTTTGGGGTTTTTTAAAAGCAAATTGTAGCATAGAGTAGTCCTTATATTATTGCAGATTATTAATATTTTCCTGCTTAGTTTGGGTTTTTTTCTGTTTGATTGGGGTGGGGTTGGGGGGGGGGGCTGTCTTTGGCTTGAGGGTTTTTTTGCAAGTGAGAAGCCTACAAAAATAGCATATTTCAGACAGTCCTGCAAGTCCTAAGGATTATTCAGTAATGTATGCAGCTCAAAAATAGTGCTGAAAAAGATGAGCATTTAAGCAGAGCTGTTATACAATGGCTTCTTTTGGGCTCTTCCTTTCCAAGGAAATTATTGAGTGTGACAGCTGAAAGGTGATAGAAAGAATATTAGAAATTGAAGAAAAAATATGAAAGTAAATCCATCTGGCATTCTGACACTGCATTTGAGATAAAGCCCAAGGGAAAGAGGATAAAATCCTGTTTGCTGACAACACAAATACTCTACCTAAGCTCTTCGAGAAAATTACTTCAATTTAATCTTGTCAATGGAGGTCAGTCTTTGATATAACCTTAACTAGGTGAGTTCTGAGTGCACTCAATATAACACACACACTAAAGTTATTAGTCTAATAAATAACAAGGTCATTATCCAGGTTAGGAGCAGACTCAGCTCTACTGTGACTTGTCCAACATTTGAGTTTACTCCAACCTTACCTAGAGAGCTGCAGGTGAGAGAGGAAATCTTCATGTCAGCTGTTACATGAACCATTAGAACTAAAAATCAGCTTTTTGACTTTGGTGCATTTAGATTTGCTCAAGTAAATACATTGAGGTTTCTTGTTTGTATGTTCCTTTGCAGTATCTGCATCATTCTGCATGTTTGATATGACATTTTGAAAGCCCACACTGTATCATAGTAATAAGAAAAGGCAAATTGAAATCTCAGTTTTCAGTTTTACCCCTGTAAAGTTTTCCTAGTGCAAGCCAATATAAAGGGATCAGTGCAGAACAAGCCCTGGACCATTCTGCCCCAGCAGAGAGCTGACCCCATTTGAGACCCCCCAAATAATCCCATTGCTGACAGTCTGCAGCACCCTGAGCTGCTCTGCCATCCCCTGTCACCACAGGAGACAGAGGCTTATGGGGCTGTGACAGAACTGATCACAAAACTGCTTTACAGCATCATTCATGCTGACAGGCAAAAGCAAGTTTGTTTTAAACAAAGATATCTTCATCCACAATGAAAACACACGTGCTGTGTGCTCGCTGAGGATGGCTGCCAAAGATTCATGTTAATTATGACAAAAAATAATTTGTTCAAAATACATAATGGTAAAACCAGGGAAGTGCAAAGTTTGTGGCCTGCAATGAGAACCACAGGAGCAGGTTGGAGGCAAGAAGTGATCTGCAAAGTAAGAAGGAAACTTCTTCAAAGTTCTCTATTCCAGCTTAGCCACTTATTTTGGCATGATGTCTCAGCTAAACAAGCATCTTAACAATGGATACTTGTCTGAAACAAAACTTCAGTACTTTAGGTGCAGTACTGAAAAATATTGCACAAATCTCACATAATTGCAGTGTTGTACAAGACTGATATTCTATACTGCCTTTTACATTTATTATTCTGTAAATAGATATCCAGCTATGCCTAAATATTTTATCAAGTATTTTTTATCATTGTAAACAGCATATTTATTTAAACATAAATGTTTACTATTAAACTTAAATTATAAATTATAATGCAAACTGCCTTTGCAACTTAGAGAGTATTTGGCTTAAGAGCAAACAAGTATCACTTTTTATCACTCCATTTCAAAATGAAGTGTTTTGGTTTTTAACTGCATGAAAGAATACAAGCCACAATATTAGTTTGCTCTATTTTTTTCCTACACTATAGAAATTTTTACCAAGACAGCAAAAAAAGTCTCATTCACAGAGCAATGAGGACCGGAAAGGTGTAAATAGGAATGATTTGCACTAATGAGCCAACATTAGAGCAATATTTGGATTACACTGATAATTCTTAGCAACACATTTTCACAGTGTTTCTGTAACTTTGCAGCTCATCTGAAGAGAAAGCTAAATGTATCTGAAAGATATTAAATTAAGGAAAGTTTATGGCATTTGCCTTGAGCCTCGAAAGGCTAGAGCATCAGAGAAAATGAAGTAGCAGCAAATAATGTGGAAAATTAAGGGGAAAGCAAAACCTACCATGAAATAGCACAGACAGCTAGAAATGCACAGTATTTGAAACATCTATAACAAAATAGCTATTATCATCAGAGTTTAAACAAAAAAGACAAAATGTTCATTTTCTCAAGACTGACAAATAAGAGACACCTCTAAGGAGCCCAGAAAGGTTCATGATATGTGGAAAGCAAAATGAGGAAATTGATCCATTCTGAGGGAGTCTGTGCTACTGAGAACACACTGGAGGCAGCAATGCCCATTGTGGTACTTGAGTTAAAGAGACAAACATCTGAATGCATCTCTCTTTCTAAGGCACAAGAAAATCTCTTCTGGCACTTGTCCAGTAAGGGAATCTCTGTTTTCAAGCATATGATTAAAGCTCTTGTATTCAATAACTTGGTCTGTTTAGCAAGCATATAAGGTCATAAAAGCAAAGAGCCTCATTCAATAAAAACTTCTGAATTTTAAAAAGCTTTTATGTTTGAGAAAACAGCATCTCTTGTTGTAAGACGCAATCTTCATAATTTCCAATTATTCTCTAAAGGTTCCTCCTTGCTCCTCTGTAGGAACTTCCAGCACTTTTTTCCCCTCTTTTTTATGTCTTTATTCAGCAGCAAGGCTCAAAAAACACCTGGGATTTGAAAAGTTGTATTCAGTCCCACTTTAATTACGAAAATAGTACAGAAACATTACTTGCATCCTTGAAAAAAAACTGATCTGTTTTCTACACAATCAAATTAAGATGACCTTCCCCCAGGCTATACATTCCGTCCCAATATGATTACCCTATTAAAATTGCCATAAAAGAGGAGAAATAAATAATAATTCATTATATTATAAAACCTATTGTAGCAGTAAATTGATAAGACATCAAGGTCTCAGACTTGTAAGGATTAACTGATTCACTGAATGTACAAATTATTATGATGGCTGTTTTAAATCATCCATTAAAGTTAAAAAACATCACTTTAGGTTACAAGTTTCAGATGAAGCCTCCTTTTCCTTTACAGATAAATAACTTCAAAAATATTTACTTTTACATGCAAAAGTTCTCGAGTCTCTTCTTTGTCACAAGACTGAACAAAAACTCTTTGTTCACTAAAATTTAGTAAATAAAACAAGGAAGGAGAAAACACTTATGCAACAGGCTTTTAGTGTAATATTTTGAACACTTTGACAAGCCTTACTGGATATCTATCTTTTTTTTTTAGAAGAGCAAATATTCAGTGTGCTCATTTGAATACACATAAAAAACCTCTAAGGAATACTTTCTGCTAAAGACCAAAACAAATCCCTACTCTGGGGACATGCTAATTTTTCCCTTCTCCCACTGTGTGTGTAAGTTAAAAAGATTCCAGTTGCGTGGAACAGTGAGTTCAGA